CCCCCCGCTCCCACCCCAGCCGGGAGGTCCTTTTCAAGGCCTCGCCCCGCCGAAGGACGCCGAGATTCTATTAGATGTATCCGAAGTTTCGTCATGTCGATCGCCGGCGGGCGGCGCCGTCTGCTCGCTCTGCCCGTTTGTCAGTAAATTCCTATGAGAATCCCGGTGCACACTGTGGTGCCCCTCCCCGCCCCGCACCCCTCTCCGCCAAGCCCTTCCTCGCTCCGGTGCAGGTCGGTGCAGGTGACCTGCCACCTGCCGCCGGACGTCACTGTCTTGTCTGCTCCGCCCATGCGCGGGCGCGGGCTAGCTGCAGCTCCATTATTTTCCGTGGCACAACCGTCGACGTTGCCGTCATGTGACGAACCGCCCATCCATCATTGATGACAATTTTACGAAGCGCCTCAGCCGTCGCTGGGCGGGGCGCTGGTCGGGCTGGGTGCGGTGTGGGCACAGACACACACACACACACACACACACACTTACACCAGGCGCGCGGGCGCGTGGCCGTCCTGCGGGCGCACAGGTTGCAACGTCGGGGTCGACAGAGATGCATCATGGCATTTGTGCCATTGGCCGATTGGCCGGGGCCCCTGTGCCGGGCTGCCAAGCACGCTGCCAGGCCACGCCGCTCTGCGCGCTCCGCCCCAAAGACCACTTGCACCTCGGCTCTGCTCGGCGGGGTCCACGATGAACCATACCAAGCGAGCCGAGTTTACGATTCGACAACAACTCCCCTGTGCTCTTAGGCACCCACACCCTGGGGGCGAGGAGCTCCTCTGCCTCTTCCAAGGATAGCCCCTGGTATTTGCTCGCCGTCCACCCCCCAGGGCTCGCTGAAAGAACTCCCTCGGTCAACTTCTACACCGAAAAAAAGTTTTCAACTCTAGTACAAGGTCTTAAATTTTTGAAAACGTCATGCGTTAAGGAAAATAACTTGTTTGGTTCGAGCGTGAATAGGGGATGTGGTAAGAACATTTGTCTTGGAAATTTCAGAAATCCTGAGACAAATCCCTCAGCTAAGAAGGTTTGAGGGTGTAGGGTTCGGCCTCGGCCAGCCTGCTTTTCCGCAAGCCATAAGCTCGGCCTCGGTCTCTTTTGCACAGTCGCCTGACCGACTCCCCGTACGTTCAGAACATGAGTGTACCGCCCCCCCCCCCCT